ATTACAAAGTTTCGGAGAAGCACGCTGCGTCCATCTTGAGCCCTGAGGACGGACACAAATGTTTCTCCGAAACGTTTTCAACCACCTTCGAGTCCACGTGGCGTTACAACCCAGAAGATCAAGATCGTAGTAACACAGCTTGTCGTTTCTTATGGCATCTGAACTTTCCCTCACAAAGACCGGAGCATTTAGACGTAAGACGGAGGCTGTGACACGGGGGGGGGGGGGGGGGGGGGGGATTCTCCTTCAAATATCAGGATGGCAAATTCAATAATGAGGTGGGCGGGTCTTGTAGTACGCGTGAAACATGAGAAATACAAATTTATGGCCTGACAACGCGACTGCTTAAGAAACCTAGTTGTAGATGTTCGGATAATATTAAAATGAGTCTTTAGGAAATTCTTTGTGACGTGGGCTGGAATTGTTCAAAACAGGAAGAGAACCTGTGGCGGACTCTTGTGAGCACGGCGATGAACCTTCAGCTTAAATAAAAGGCTGACACTTCCTTGACCATCTGAACCACTCTCAGTTTTTAAAGATGTGATTAATTTTAGAACGTAGTTTGTGTGGTCTGTCAGGTAGCAGTTCCTCGCGCCGTGGACGTGCGGTGATTTGTCTGTTCCCGCCGTCAATACCAACGCACGCCGTAAAACAGCAGGTACTGGGATCAGTTCCCGGAGCCAGACACGGGGTCAGAACTCGCCTCCGTTCAGTATTGTTTGTGCAAACGCGCGTAAGATGTCGTTAACGCCAAGCACTGTTTTAGCTCGTCCCATCTTTCGTTACTTTTTGCATCGAACAGTTTATTTTTAAATAATGACATATTCGAGCAGAAAACTCGTTCGCGGAGGAATTAAAACACTGTAATTGTAATTAAAGTCGCTTCCGGTAACAGCGTCTTCCCCCATTTCGCACGCGGGTCGCTGCAGATGTCCTCTTGTTTACTGCGTGCCCTGGACTTAAACATGAGAACGATGAGATTCGCTGATCCAGACGAAAGTTCGCCTAATGCATGACGAGTTTTGAAGTAGGAATCCACGCCCGTTTAATTGTTTACCTCGCCGCTTATTCCCACCTGCTACTGGCCTGCCACATAACGACCTACGCTCAATAAGACAGGAAGTTGATGTAGCGTTGTAAAATAACCAACCTCGTCATGCGTGTGAACGATAGAGTTTTGTAATGGTCGGGACATGTAGCACGGATGGGGTTAATTCATGATCTACTTTTTGATTTTTTTAAAAAACAATCTGTTCGGCTCAGGGCTGCGATGGGGCAAGGTGGTTCTCGAAACGTCGGTGATGACCCCGAGAAGATTTTATAAGTGAAACCTTTAGATCACAAACTGCGCTTTATAGTTCTAAAATCTCAGACGTAACAGCTGAGACGAGGGGCCCAGCTTTCTAGATCTAGATGTAGATGTGAAGAAAGTATTGAAAGGAGACATAATGATTCGATTCATTCGGTGGAAGATTAGAGGCGGCCTCTTGTGGACGGACACAGCATCTGGCTTCAGTACGAGACGCAAGGTTTCCTTACTAGGCGATTGATTTTAAGATTTGTAACATAGGCCTGTGTTGCGTGATTTAGTCAGGCTTAGTTTGGGACCTTTCTGTGCGTTTCCATAGCAACCTGCATTGCCCCCGTGCCAAATGACATATGCGATGTGGCGCATAAGCTTCGTTCTGTTGTATCCAGGTGACCACTTAGATAGACCACAATTTCCTTCTGTTCCGCCCTGTTAATGCCGAATCTCCTATGTCATAATCTAGTGTGGTCTGAGTTTAATGTGTCATGAAGTGGATTGGATTAAACTGGATGGTCATAGCGACCGGTGGCGGGTTTTTGTAAAGGCGGTAGTCAATACTTCGGCCCCACAGACGAAAGAGCGCGAAACGCAACAAAATTTTTGAACTTTAATTCACTTGAATAAAAATGTACTTGGATGTTATCCATCGTCTAGTAAATATAAAACGTAAAACGACGTTTCGGAGATGGGACTCTATCTCCGTCTTCAGGTTCCTACACAGTTGGGCCCACTAGATAGAGCTAATTCCTATCTCCGGACTCTATCTCCGAAACGTCGTTTTACGTTTTATATTTACTAGACGATGGATAATATCCAAGGAAAAAGTCCGGAGATAGGGATTAGCTCTATCTAGTGGGCCCATCTGTGTAGGAACCTGAAGACGGAGATAGAGTCCCATCTCCGAAACGTCGTTTTACGTTTTATATTTACTAGACGATGGAAAATATCCAAGAAAATTTTTATTCAATTGACTCTTCACCATCGTCAAGAAGTTTTAGATTTGAAATACTTTAATTCACATTTGAGGGGGAGGTGATTTAGTTTGGAGGGCGGACCAATAACCAGAGGCTGTGTGAGAACCTGTATCATCTGTTTCAACGATCGTATCCTCGTATCCCGCTCGCAGTCATTGGATTCCCATCATAAAAATACAAGACTTCAAATGTGAAATGACATGTTTCATTGCAGTCAGGAGTCGCGGTTTCAGATCAAGCAGTGCGCTAACCCACACTTCATAATCACTGAGGACAACGGAGCGGATTCCACTCTTTTAAGATTCTGAGACACGCGTCTGTCGATCCCAAACCGGATTTTCCAACTCTCAGGTTATCTGATTGTCACTTTCAGATCTTCAGGTGTTTTTGATATGAGATTGTCACAGCGGCGAGCATGAGGATGGCTGTCCGCTGTCTTCAGGGCGATTCGCCCTGATGATAGAGGCAGCAATGACCTCTGAAACGTCGGAAATCTTCTACCAGAGTATACGGCGCTGAAACCCGTAAGACAGCCATTTTCATATTTAAATATTATTTAGGTGGCTTACGTGTTTTGAGGCCAGCATTTCCCACTTCTTACGTTTGCCATCGGAACGCCGTACGGAAAACCCCGACGCGCGAAACGTAAACTGCTGATGTCGTCACAGCATTATGCCGTTGTTTAATAAGAGGGGGCCAAACCGTGTTTAACCGTACGTAGCACTCGGCGTGAACTGCCTTTGATTAAACATCTTAGCGGGATAATTTATCGGTCTTCTTCGCGAGCGGAAGGATTTGCAAGCGTCTCGCGACACAACCACCGGAGCAAACAGACATTGAATTGCTGTAACAGAACGCAATGCGTCGGATAAATGTCTCTGCCGATGCGATAGATAAGATGGAATCCAGCCCGTTGGTTGTATAAATCGTGTCCACGAATGTCAGAGCCCAAAGCACTGGGCCTATTTCGATGACTGCCGCCTTAACAGACAGACGAAAGCTACATTCTTCGTGTCCTCCCGTCCCTCGTTTGTTTTCGTAATTCATACGTTAAGCTTAAATCGGTTTACGCTTCCATCTGTTTCCAGTGTTTTAACATGTTCTCACGAAGCCCGATGTTGGCCCACGAGATTTCCTTTGCGGCAGTTTGACTCTCAAAGTTCTGTTTAAGTTACTTTTTCTTAAAAACATTAATATAACGCTTAAAACTTCTTGACGATGGTGAAGAGTCAATTGAATAAAAATTTCCTTGGATATTATCCATCGTCTAGTAAAATATAAAACGTAAAAAACGACGTTTCGGAGATGGGACTCTATCTCCGTCTTCAGGTTCCTACACAGTTGGGCCCACTAGATAGAGCTAATCCCTATCTCCGGTCCGGAGAAAATTTTTATTCATTACTAAATTACCTAGTCACTTAACTTTCCAAATTACAACTTCAACATTCACAGACAAACAAATAGAAATTTCGCTCATAACGCGCTCAGCTAGCCAAGAAATTCTCGACCTCTTACGGAATTTGAAAGTTTATCAGTTTCAAGTAAAGTTTGCCGAAAGCCTGAATGCGTATTTGAACGCATCTCGACACGTAATCAACTGAGAAAATCTCGTTTATTCGGAAATACTCAGTGCCGTCGAGAGCTTCGTCGTCCGATACAGAACGACAGCAAGAACCACACGATGCCGCAGCGAATGAGACCGATTTCGAAAAGCGTTTTTTTATTTGCCCTTCTGAAGCCGAAATCGGGTTTTCGGATGACCTGTTGCACCGTGTAGTTTCGCGGTCACTGAGTGTAATCTGCCTGATGGAGCACTGATCATTTCTCTTTTAGAATTCAGTCCGTACCGCGAAGAAAACACATCTCTTCACCATTACGAAAGATCAAATGACTAACGCGGTTTAAGGAAATAATCGCTGTTTATTCTGAGATCGTACGAAACCCGAAAACACGAACTGCAGAGTTATTGATTGTTTGAAGCAAGTGTGACATATGTTACCATTTGGTCTCGAAGGGTTAACGCGGACACACGAGGGACTGCGTGCCTAGTCACTGCACTCCCGTGTACCGGAAACCAGTAGAAATGTTTTATTTGCTATGTTCTTAAATGTGCTTAAAATGAACACACGATGTGGAGGTCTTGTCCGTCTCGCTGTTGGTCCGCGTGTTTAACGTCCGAAATGTCTTTTTCCCCTCTCGAAATTTGTTTAGAATCGCCGGTACAAACAACAACCTGAAGCCAGATGCTACTTTGGGGCGTCTTAATAGGATAAGATCACGTGTAGTCTTCGTTAAAGTCTGCGACTTTTATTTGGAAGCAACTTTCGGCGCGACAGACGTTCACCAAGAGACACGGTGCGCTTACCTGAAGTGCTAAGGAGTCTCGCCGCGCTGCGCTCCGTCCGTGTAGGGGGCACTGGTCGCTTCGCGGCTCGCGCTCAGCGTTATAACGCACGTGACGCCACCCACATCCAACTCCTCCATTGGCCTCCACCCGCACACATCGGCTCCCATTGGCCCACATAGTGACCTCACAGCTGCTCGGCACCGTAACAACTTATTACTATTACACGGTACTTGAGAATTACGCGCTGAGCGGCGCAAACCGACCGCGACTGAAGATGGTCGAGTCCGGACACTGGGGGCTGCCGACGGCGGCCGGAGCGTGAAGCTGGCCACTAGTATAACACACCCCCGTCGTCTGCTGATTAACAATTAAATTATATTAAAATTTTACAATTTCAGCGTTGTAACTCTTTAATTTTCGTAACAGCAGGCGACGGATATTGTCCTAATAACGTATCGTAATTACAGCACTGATTATGTCGGGGAAGCTGAGGCACGGAGATAAATACACAGGCCTAAATATTTGATTTGCAATAAATGAATGAAAGAGGGAACGTGGCAGACCTAAACGCAGATGGATATGCGAATATCACAACGAATCTTAAGGAAGTGGGGTGCGAGGTTTGAACTCGGTTCGTCAGGTTGCGGAGTGGCGGCGGGCTCTTGTGGACACGGTAATGACCCTTCGGGCTCCGGAGAGACGGGGATTTCTTCACTGGTCGGGCGACGGTCAGCTCCTCGAGTCGGGTCGCCCCGTTTGTCCTAATCTTCCGCTACCCCCACAGTTTCCTCCTGTCTCGTTTGAAGGTGGCCCTGCGGCAACGGTTCGCCGTAGAGACACGCAACTTCTCCTGCACTACTGCGTTGCGTGTTGCCGTGCTTGCAGGCGTTTGAGTCATAAGGCTGCGGGCCGATTTTAGGCTTTTGTAAAGGCGACGATGGACTCCCAAGATCCCGTAAAAGGCGGGCAGTTTGTCGACTGGCTGGGCGGGTGCGAACTTGACGGGGAAACCCGTTCACACGGAATAGCTGCCGAAGGTCGGCGTGAGTCTCTCACGTCGGTGGCTTCCAGTCGTTCGGAACAAGCAGCGCCGCTAAGTCTGTTGCGCGCAATTAGCGACGCTCAGGGGTGTCGACGTCGCTTCAAAAAGAAACGTGAAACAAAGCCGTTGGAAGTTTCACAAGTTAGACGCGAGGGTGTCATGGCGGCGAAAATATCCACGCGCGATGCCCGTATCGTAATATTTATTTAGAATCGTTTACTCACATTATTGTTTCAATGCGTTTAATCGTCGTGTACTAGAAAACGTCCTTGAAAATGTAAAATAGCGTGTTTTTTCGAAAAAACGTAAAAACTTCCCTGTCTAAGTAGGAGGGGTTGCGATGGTGTGTTCAAGAACAGGTCCGTTGTCATCAGGAAATCTCCGGCAAAGAAATGCGGAAGGAGACTCAAAGGTCACTAGGAGAGTCACTTGTGTGTACGACACACGCAATGTGAACTTGTGATAGGGAGGTACTACCAATGTATTGTAAGTTCTATCTCTGTGTCTAAGTGACGGATTTCGGCAAAATTTCGTACTGGGCGCCAATCTGATTATGTTGCAATGGCAGTCGTAACCTGCGCTTAACCCAGACCAAACTGCGTGAGGGCGTCGTCGTTTGTAGATGGCGACTACCCTTTCCTTCGTAGCGCAATCCAGAAAGACTCACTCTCCGTGCACGTCTGTCCACCCGATTACGCTGGGGGTCGCTTGACCTTGCTACCCCGTCACCCCACGTACCAACGTCAGTGATTAGCATTCCTGTTACGTATTCCATATGTGCCGGAGTAAAATCTAGACCCAGAGACACGTGTTTTTCGCTGTTTCCCCTCAGTTTTTCCGGGCAAATTTCTCATAAGGACGCCGTCCCTCGAACTTCGGCACTCTTCCTAATTTAAGATTCAATAATCGTCCTCCAATTCGCCTCTTTATGATCTGCTTCAATAAATAAGCAATGAGGATTCCGTGAGGTCCTGGCGTATGGCGCCTCATCCGCACTTACAGACTCTAATAATAGACTCCAATTACGTTTCTGTTGTTAATTTTCGTTTATTTCCTTTCAAACACCATCTTACACCACCAAGAAATTACGAAATGTTGAGAGTGCTGTTTAGGATGCCAGATTCCGGTTAAATGTGTTGTTTTGTCTCCTGTTCTCCGTGGCGTGCCGGAAGCGCTCATCTTCCGGGTTCGGGTTTGAGTCGGTGTCCGCAATCCTCTTTCCCCTCACAGGCCACCACGGGTCGCTTTTTGACGGCGATTCTTGGGTTCGAATCTGAGTCAGACACATCATCAAGAATATAAATAGCGTAATTTAATCGCATTAACGAAGTATTTGTGTTGGCATGAAGACTGGCTCTAAGGATAACACAGTTACATTGTACCTACTCAGTTATAAACCTAACCTAAGCTTCGATACCGAATGATTTCAAATGGCGGTCCAGAAATCTCCACAACATGTCTCACATTCGTGTGCGTGAACTTACCTGAGATAAAAGGTCCTCTGGCGACGGTGGCGTCATCCGTGGAGAGTCCTTCTTTCCGCGGGCAGCCCAGAAGGGCACTTCGGCTGAAAGTGAATCCAGCAAGCTGCCCCTCCTACCCCTCTTATCTTCTAATTCATCATCATCATCATCATTTCCTCTTTTTTGTGAGGCCCAGAGAGGTCGTTCTACAGACATCGATTCTTTTTGGCAGCATTTATCTCGAGACTGACGAGCGTCGTCCAAAGCTGACTTCTTTCCAAAAGCTGTCCAGGTAGGGACATCGACAGAAATTGTTTCCAGTGGTTCGCCTCTGTCCTGAGAATCTTCATCTTCGTCTCCTGCAGGCCGTTTTCCACGTGCTGCCCAAAAGGGTTCTCCAGCGGACAGCGATTCAAGAAGACCGCGTTTGTCTCTTGAATCCTCATCGGCAGACCTGCGACCGCGAGCCGCCCAGCAAAGTTCATTCCCTGAGAGAGATTTCAGAACGCGCCTTCTTGGCGTACCTTCCGGTAATCTGAAGATGTTCCTCTTTCCTCTGGTTGGCCAGAACGGATCTTCAGCCGACTCAAGCGAATCATGATCTGACTTTCTGATCCTTTCTGCCCAGAAAGGTTCATCGGCGTACATCAGTTCGCGCAGTCCACTAATCGACGTCGGCCTGACTTTGGCTGCCCAGAGTGAGCCCTCGCCTGAAGCAGTCCGCGCCTCGTACCGCCGGCGACCCCTTGCCACCCAGAAGGGGTCGTCATCGTTCGTCCCGTCTGGAGACACATTTGGCTCGTCGCGTCTGTCCAGAAGCACGTAGTTGGGTTCTTCAGCAAACAGAGGCGTGTGGAGTTGCAGTCTGCCTCCTGCAAGCAGAATGGTTTGGGGCAGAGCCCTTGGATTATCAGAGTTAAACGTCGTGGTGTGAGAAACAACAGGCGATGGACAATGCCCAATATTTTAGCCGAAACTATTACATTTCGAAGTCGCCAATATTCTTTAGATTGATCTCAATAGAGCTTACGCCTACGTGTCCTGTGACGTCACTTGTCAGAACTGCCAGCTTTTCGAAAATGCCTTTCCTACCAGATAATGGAGTTGGAGTTTGTTATGGTGGTGTTTTGCATGTATCTAGCTGATTGTGGTTCTGATCTGTTCTACGTCGGTCTGCAGTCCCCTTATGTCATCTTGACGAACTTCGAAATCTCCCTCTCCCTCCCCCCGAGGACTGAGAAGGCACTACGTCTTTTCCAGGTAATGCAGTCGCCTTCTTAACCGGCAGCCACGATGTGAGGTTTGAGGTTCTCACGGCGTAACTTACTGGGTTTGTGAGGAGCCGCGGATCTCCAGTGCATCCGCGGCGTCTGTGAGTTCGGCCGGAGGGGCGCGTCCGACCAGAAGAGTGGGGGCACGTCCTCGAAATAGCTCCTTCTGCCTCGGGCTGGCCAGAAACCAGGTTCCGGTTTGTTCCCCAAGGTAGCGCGCACGTCGCTTCGGGTCACGCGGCGTTCGATGTCACGTCCCGTGTCGGTTTCTACCGCGTTGATGTTTTTTGCGTCGCTCTGAAAGGGAAATTTCAGAAATCGCTTGAAAACATTTTATACGTCAACAGCAAATGTTCATATTCGAGGTCGTGGCCTATGGGAAGATTCTGTTTCCTTTCTTATTTGTATTAACAGTGACTGGGGTCGTTTATCGTGAACTGGCGTTTGTAGGAAAAAGAAACTGAAATTCTACAAATTTTCATAATTACTTTTCTCTCTGTGGGTCTTTGCGTTGTGTTGCGTCTTGCTGATCTGTCATCTAGAGAATCCTATCTCGTTTCGAGTGTATCCATTCTCTTGAAATACTAATCTTGATTCTGAATGTACCAAAGAAGGCCCGCCTAATGCCCTTGTAGTATTGAAAGAAATGCATTGTATTCTTTCAAAGTAACTTGCCTTAATTCCCGCAAATGAAACAAGCACACCCGTTTCGAATTTCAAATTTTTCGCTATTTTCTCTGTCCCCCCGAAACGAGTCTCGTACTGTGCTCGCATCTTTTACTGTTTGTAGTTAATAACAATCCCGTCT